CTGTTGTTCAGTAACTGTCTTGCCCCGTAAGTTATTTTTACTTTGCAAGAAGTTCTTTAGTTAATGTTTATCATATTGACGTTAATTTTTCTTTTATTATAGTTTTGACTGGTCGATTTATTTTTCAAACTATTCTTTATTATGAACGTCCTGTTCACGACTTATACACATTTACCGTTGGTTTATATGTTATGTGGTCATTGGGCGCCACTCTTGAATGGTTAATACGGAAATGTCAAGCTATTGCTGAAAAACAAGATCGTTATGCTGATTGGGCTGATATAAAGCGTAAAATAGGACAAGGGATTATCATATTCGCTAAAATAGCATATCTCTCTATAACTTTCGGTATTGTTATTCCATTCCTCCTTTCGTTGGTTATTGAATTATATATAATTCTTCCTTGGAAGAAACCCACTACGGATGTACCAATAATTTCGTTCTTGCAGGTATTATAATGTTATAATTTTACTATTTCTGTATATACAATATTCTTATTCTTTATTCTATAGGACTGGGCTTTGGGTGTTGTGTATATGAAAATTGCATATCGTATTATATTTATGTTGCCTGATAATGTTTATAGTAGAGCAATTAACGAAGTAAGTTTTATTTGCGCTTGACAACGTAATGTTACAAGAATTTGTATTTATTTTATTCAATTTCTTCAATTAGATTACTGTACATGGCGTTAGACGTTTGAATGTTAAATTAGCAACGACCGTTTTTATTATTCCTATTGGTGGTTCAGCGTTGTTGGCAGTTATATTTCCTGCACTCACAGCATGGGGAATTATACATTTATCGGGTAAGTTTATTGTATTTCACATAATTATTATCTTAATATGCTAACAGTATTTTTTATCGGTTAGGCATTACAAATGCCACTACAATAGCTATAATAGGCCGATACATTTACCCAGTTTTTCTGGCGATGATATTCGGGTATCGAGTCCAAAAACAAACTGCACAATTAATAGAAAATTGGATGCAGACAGTTAGGGATGAAGAATATCTTATAGGACGAAGGTTACATAATATAGAACCCAATGAGCAAGTTGGTAATGACAGTAATGCTCGTAATAATCCTAATAATGCCCCAATGGCGGCATAGAATTTTTTTTATTTTAACTATTTCCGCGTTATCGCCGTAAAACTAAGTTTCGGTTTCGTATTCTTCGAATTCATTCATAATTTTTCTTAAATTCATAGTTATTTGGCCTTTTAAGAGGTTTGCACAAAAACTTTAAAGACATCTATATGCCAACATATTAAGGCTTAATGTATACAGTTACATTTGTACAAAAAAAAAAAAAAACAATATATAAAATCATTTATTATAAATAAATTTAACAACTTTGTTTTAATCTTGTAATATTTGTGAACTTATAAGTAATATATTTACTAATTTCTTTGTTGCATATTAGCTAATTTTTGAAATTGTAATTAGGGTTAGAGTTTTTTTTTTTTTTTTTTTAAGCAAAGCTAAGGTGGGGTTAGAGCTTTTTTTAAACTAAAATTAAATAATTTTTAATATATAAGTTTGATTAAAATAATTTTATTACTATAATGTTTATTTTTGAGACGATTTTAATAGATTTAAAATTATTATTATTTTTTTTTCACAATCATACTAATAATCAAAATTTAATCTATAACTAAACTATTTCTATCTAGTATATTCTACTATTTAGTGATTACTTTTAAGTACTAACTCACTTGGTTATCACTATAGTACCTAAGTATAATTTGCTATAGTAATTTTTATTTTTTTAATCTTTAGTCTTATTATATAAATATCTAGAAATATCTCAAAAAAAAGATATTATAGTTTATTATGTTTGCTAATTATAATCAGTAATTTTTTAAACTCACTAAAATTTTTTTAAATATACTATTTCTTGCTAATTTAAAATTTAAGCTAAAAACTTTTTCTTTTTCTAAAAGATAATTGAGTTTAGTTAGTTTCATTTGTTTGATCTTCTTTGTTTTCTTTTTTGATCTTATACTAGTTTTCTTATCTTTTAATAAAATTTTTTTATTTTTCTTCTAATTGCTTATTTCTGTATATTGTTTAGTTCAAATATCTTTGTATATATATTCAATTTAGAAGTTCTAGATCATATACTAAAAATTTGTAGTTAACTTTTTAGCTCTAATTACTTTTTTTATTTTTTGTATTATTTTTGTTTAGGATTTCTTATAGCTATTTAATATTTTGTAATTGTTTTCTTTTTTCAGTTATCTTTGTGATGATTTGTTTTAACTTCTAAAGGTTTTATTTTTCATCTTTTTTTTTATTAATATGTATCTTTTTCTAGACTTCTTTACTTATTCTTAATAATATTTCTTATAGTAAATAATATATTTATTTGTTTTTAGTTTTCTAAAATATTTTTTGTATATGTTGTCTTTATAAATATCAGATTTTCTGATATTTAATACACTGACTATAGAAAATAAATTCTCTATATATTTGATTTTAAATATACAGAAAGGATTTACTTTTGTGTTCATTTCTTGCTACTTATAACAGCTTCTTAATAAGTTTTTAAAAGCTTTCTAGTTCTAATTTTTAAAACAATATTGATACTATTTGTCTTTTTTCTTTTTTAGCTAAGTTTATTTAGCTTTATACATTATTTGAACTATTTTTTTAATAAAGGTTTTAAATAGAAAATCAAGTTTACAATCTTTTTATTTTAGTAAAAACTTAATATTTTTGATATTTATATTATTGATTTCTAGTAAAGAACTTCTTTTTACATCTTTTTTTACTAGCTAATCTGCTATATCATTATATAAATCTCCTGAATAAGCTTTAATTTTAACCAGTTCTAGCTATATTTTTTTATTTTTATAAGTCTTAACTATTGTTTATAAGAAGCTATTGTTATTGTTTTTTGCTTTTAGCTAATATTTCATACTTTTATTTTTAAGATTTTTTAATATTACAACTATTATATATATATTATCTGTATAATATATTCATTTAGCATAATTAAGATTGCTATTAAACATACTGCTAACTCTGCTCAAGTAGATAAGAACTATTTTTCTATTTTATTTTTATAACTATATACTATTCTATTCTGTTCAACTATCTGTATTATACTATATTTTATTAATTACTATATATCCTTTCTTTGTAATAACTCATCAATATAAACTACTATCTTTCTTTTTTTATATTTCTTGTAAGACTTTCTTTTAGCTCTGTTCATATATATTCTTTTTTAATTATCTGATTTATTAACTTTACATTCTAGCTTTTTTCTATTTGAACTTTTTTAAAACCTATAAGTTCTTTAATCTTTATATTGTTACAGAAAGTGTATTTTAAGCCTTCTTATACACTAACTATAACAGAGATATAGCTATTTAGAAACTTTAAAAAGTAGTATCAAAGAGAAAGGTATAATTCTTGTATCATTAAAGAATCATACTCATCTCTAAAGAGGTAGTTCATTTATAATAGTTTATAATCAATATATTGTTACAAGCGGTTCTTTATTAATCTGCAAATTTTTAGGTAGCAGAAGGTTTTTCACGGTTATTATTCAAGGCACCA